CGCCTCTTGCTCCATGCCCGGGGGGCTCTGGCTGATTCGGTACCTTAGAGGTCACCATGCAGAGGACGGCTTGATATCCCACCTGGAAAAACGCAAGGAAGGGAGGAAACCACTGGCCCAGGGCCAGCACAGGGTCCCTCTGGAGGAGCTGGGGAGCAGAGCAGGTTCCCGCATGGCACAGCCATAGGATGCAGCCAGCCCCAAGCCCTCACAGCATCCTCAGCGCCTGCACAACAAGCCTCTTCCCCAGCATCCTCAAAAACCTCTTTTCAACACCCAGAAAGGTTCAGCCAAGATTTTGCTCACAAACAGGTGCCTGGACCCAGGAAATGTGTCCGTGCACCATTTATGTCTCCCAGCGCTGGTAAAGAAGCTGCCGCCTCCTTCACTGGAGACCTGCTGTGCGGGGAAGCCGCTCGTATTTCCTCATCAGGGTGACAGAAAGCCACTAAACCATGATGAATCCATTCAGAAGGGAGTGCCTTAAGGCAATGGCATCGCTTAAGCTCAGGAAGGCAATCAGACTGGGCTTATAAACAGGGAAAACGCTTTAGAGCAGCATTTCTGCTGGCAGAGGGGGGCCAGGAGGCACATGAGGCAAGGGATGGAGCCCCAGCAGGATGGTGCAGAAGGAAGGCTGTACGTGGAGCTTTTTCCCACTAGCAAATACTATTAATCTAGACTAAGCTAGAAAAACAACAAAAAAAAAACCAACAGACACACACCTCACCTTCACCACCACCACGAACATGACCTGGTACCAGCATCTGCACATGTTGAGGTTAAGAGCAGACCCTCAGGTGCTTGAGGCCAGGCCAATACTTGTGTTTCTTCCCACACTTTGCACCAGAAGCCTGACCTTGCTGTAATTAGCTATCAAACATATCACATTGCCTCTTTAGGGACAGGAACAGCCAGCCCTCAGCAGCCGGTTGTCTGTGGTCACCCAAGTACGCTGAGAAATAAAGCACTGTTGGCGTATTCACAGCACAAGGGTCCACCAATTCCCTGGTCCAAAGGCTTGGTGACACCTCGAAAGGAGCAGGAACTCCTCTGCTCTGTGGATGACCAGCCTTTTGTGGCAGCTGGCAGGAGATGCACAGAATCCATCTGTCCTGGCCAGTGCAGACAGACAGACTCCAGAGCGTGTCCTGCTCCCGGGATGGCAGCTCCACTCGAGGCCAGCGGCGTGGTGGGGTTTGACCCCTTCCAGACCAAGGCAGGCACATGTACTCCTCTCCTCTGAGATGGGAAACCCCTGAGTAGCTATGAGAACAGAAGCAGAACCCCTCTGCTCCCTCCTCCCACCCTCTGCTCATTAGTGGTTATTACCATGGCACAAGGTGCTCCATCCTGTTAATTTTCAGTTCAACCCAACGCGAGCTACTCAGCAAGTTGCTCAGAGATACAAATTCAACAAGATGAGCTCTTAAAATATTTACTGTCCTAAAGATTCAAGCCACTGAGCACCAGGATGTCTTTCAACATTTGCACTTCATTGCAAAACTCCACCTTGTTGAATAGGCTGAAACATTGAGCGCTTGCCTTTTAAATAGCTCCTGCCATTTTTGGAGGAGATTAGTAAAGTATAGAAGCAGCTATTTAACATTCAGGAAATGCAACGCATACATGGGAGTTATCAGTCACTCCAGGCAGATGGTAAATGTATCTCCTTTCACCACAAACTGAGCAGCAAACATTCAAATTCATCACCAAGACAACATATTGAAATCCACTTCTATTTTCAATTCATACGTTTTTAACAAACTGCTAAGTAATGAAAATCAATATTTTCACCCAAGCAGTTGGGAGACAGTCCTGAAGCTCTGCCCAGCTGCAGAAGATTTGCTCTATGCATTTCAGTCATGCAAAATTATTCACGACCAAGTCAAACGTGGCATCCTGGGTGCAGCTCACATTTACAGCCAAGGAGGCACTGACTTTCCATCGATCAGCTCCGATTTAACAGCACTTCTGCATCAAGGTGGGAAGCATCACTTCAGGCATGGAACGGCTAAGACAGAGGTGACCTCAATCCCAATTTTGGGGGGGAATTTTGATAGGACTTGCATATTTTTAGCTGAAAAGAGGAATTAAGAAAGTGGTGCACTTCTTGGACATTACAGGCAACCTCAGCAGACCACCTGCTGTCTTTGTTAGGGTATTTTTTAGTGACCAGTCAGTTAAAATTGTTACTTAACAAAAATCATAAAAACTCAAAATGAGATGCCTTTAGCAGAAACAACTCACACCAGCAACATACTGCATGAACTTTACTCGAGCAGACAGAGAATATAGATCTGTAGTCCTCACTCCAAATCAGCAAACTCTTAACTGTTGAAAAGAAGAACGTTTTCCACCTTACTTAGAATAAAAACCTTCCAGAATACCCTAAAAGGAGACATCTTAAAACCACTAAGATGACTGCTCACCAGGGCTCACCTGCAACCACACATAGGGTAGAAGGTACCAACTGAAATAATGAAGATGCCCCACGTTTGTCTTAAGATAAAAAAATTTATTTTACAGTCTTATAAAGCAGCTTTACATTAAGCACAAACGTTGATCCATTTACTTTGTATATAAACATAGTAGAACCTTTCCCGCTGCAAAAAGTCATGTCTTGCTGTATATAAAACTAACATGTGCACATTGTGCTTAAACTGCAAAGTCTGTACAGCTTTACAAAGGACTACCCTTTACAAGAGCATCCTGTAAACAATTTATTGCATATTTAACACATGGTGTATATCCCACATGTAAAAAAAAAAATGTAGAAAAAATAAAGTACAATTACAAGGTGAATGAAAATAGCAGCTTTCAGTGAATGTCTTACACAATGGCCAAGAAAAACAGCACTGCCACACTTGTACAGTTGTGCTTGTGTGTCACTGGTTTGCATATACTCATGCGCACTATGTTTCCGATGAATTCTATGTACAGTAAGCCCCATGGAAAGATTGAACAGATCTTAGCCCCTAAGACCTTTGTCAGTTTGAAGACTGAAAAGAAACAAAAAAAACCAACTTAAGTGAATTCGATGAAGTTATGGGCACCAATGTCCAATAATCCTCTTCCACTGCACAACTCAATTAAAAAGAGTAACAGGAGAAACCCCACACTAACTCTCTTCGGTTCTACAACCTCTGATGGTGGTTGGTTGACGTCACACATGTGCTAAGGCCAACAAAAATGCAATGGAGATGTTAAGGATAAGGTGGTCTGACAGGACCGACGGCATTGGCATGGCCAACCTACGCTTCTGAGCTCACCTATCCAACAGCTGCCAGGCTGCCGCTCATGAAGCACTGAAAAATCAGCAACACTGCAATTTTTCAACTGGCATTAATTAAAAAAAACCCCAAAAACAAAAAAAAACCAAAAAAACCCCCCAAAACCAAGAGGAAATTGTGGCCTCCGTAAGGCACCGATACCACCTCTTGAGCAGTACCCAGAGAGTTTCTCTAGATTCTCCAAATCCAAAATGGGCACAAGATGGAGGAAACATGCAGGAGAAAGATGTTTCTGTGTTTGCAGCAAGGACCAGTCGTTTGTAAAGGAAGCACATTTTTCTGGGTTTTGTATGTGTGTGAGTGTGCGCGTGTGTGTACACATGTACGTAAAAAAAAATTCACCTCTGCTACCTTTGGTATTGAAATTTCTCCTGTGACATCCACTTTTCATATTAATTGATATAATCGTAGCATGCGTTTGCAAAGATCAAGTAATTAAAAAATTGCTTCAAATATCTGCAAGAAATAGAAAAAGCATCAAAAAATAGAGAAAAGAAAAAAAATTAAGATGCATATTGTCCTTGTGCCTAGCCTTTTTGTGATTTAAATGAACTTTGTTGTCAGCACGAACTTCTTAAGCTTATCCCCCACCTACACGTACAACACGTAATAGGATCAGTGGAAAAACCCCAAAGCTAATACATGTCCTTCCCATGCCGGCATATGTCAGGAGCTTTCAAGTCTGGGACTCTTAACAGAAAACACCAGCATGCCTCAACAGAGCTGATAACCCAATATTTGTTACACTACCAACCAAAACACCCCTGATCTAACGATGCTATCAGTTGGTTTTACTCTTCTGGATCAACCAGGATGCTACACACCAAGAAGGCAGACTAATGGTGGTTGTAAAGGACAGATAAACAGGAAAAAAAACCCACTTGGTTTCTTCTGCATTACAACAGTACAGTGAAAGCGTTTGGGTTCGGACGTGTGTGTTTGGTTATTGCACGGGTACCCTTGCTTGCTTGGCAGAGCCATGAAGACAAAGGACACCCAAAAAGCCAGTGCTGGAGATGTAACAACCCCTTACACTATGAGTAAGACAGTAGGCAGAGGTGAAACTTGGTATTAAAGCACAGGTGGAGCTGGAAAGCCCTCTGGGGTAATTTTAATTTTTAAAATGCTTGATACACTCAAGCAGGTTAAAAATGAAAATCACCATAGGAAAACCATAATTAATTCCAATTGCATTTCCTGCACACTACTGAAAATGAGCTCCACGTCATACTCCGGAATTCAAGACAAGTCTCCCAAAGAATGAAGTTGCCAAAGCTTAGAGAAACCTCTCAGATGTAATTAAAAAATACAGTACAAAACATCAGGCTCCATGACAAGAGATTCCAGCTACCAGGGAGAAGGCGACACCAGCAAACCTGACAGGCGATGGTAAATTTGGCTTTATAAAAAGGGGGTAGCATGGTTGCAGGCTTTGTGTAGTCCGTGAGCCCCACTGAGTTGTGCTTACGTGATGTGACTTCGAAGCCTGCACGCTGTCTGCGTGTTTTCTGTTCACATGTCTGTAAAGAAACCATACAGCTAAAGGATCTCCATACAGAGAACTGAAAAAAAAAAAAAAAGTGTATTTTTCACCCCAAGAAAAGAATCCTTATTAAAAAGCCCCCACCTTTAAAAAAGATACACTGTCCACTACCCAGGCTACAAGTAAATACACATTTACGGCGTTACACCACATGATCTGTTACGCTGTTCCAACATATACACATATTAACTCCATTTTAAAAGAGGCCACGGACTAACTTTTCAGGCAAGTGCTGGACTTTAGAGACCTGTATGGCTTCTGCAGATATTTTCCTACAAAAAGGAAAAAAAAGAAAAACAAAAAATGTCCCCAAACTCAGGAGCACAAAGGGGTTTTGCTTCGTGCAGATAGTTTCACTGTGGAGCACTAAGGACAGGTGATGTTCCCGAACCCTACCCATCAGACCCAAATGTTTTCACACTGGAATGCAATGATTTCAGGAGATCAGTTTTAAGGATCACTTCTTTGAAACGGTCTGTAAAAATTTAGGATGCAACCGTTGAAACTGTACCTCTGCGAGGCAGCAGGACCGAGGGGTTTGGTTGTAAGCTCTAGTTGTGCTTTGCCCGGCCGCCTCGCAGGTAGCTCTTCCACCTCTTGACGAACTCTTTGAAGATGGGGGACTCGTCTATCGTGCTGAGGAGCTGGAGCTGGTTGATGTGGGTGGTGTGATAGTCCCATCGGGCCAGGTTGGGAGCGGTGCCGAGCATGAAGTGCCGAAGGTCGTAGATGGTCCCTGAGCCGGTGTCGTAGAGGGGAAGCATGGCCTTCAGGGACTCCATGCCCCGCTCGTAGAGAACCCGCGCCTCCTTCCCCAGCTTCTCCCCGGCCGTTTCTTTTAAGTCATACAGCCCGATTAAGGAGTACATGAAACCGTTGAGCACGAAGGAGCTGGGTGAGGTCGGGTACTCCTCATACCAGTCGTGCCGGTTCATGAAGACGGCTTTCACTCCGCGCTGCTCCGACGGCAGCTTGTACGGCGCCGTCGCCCGCAGAGCCGAGCTGAGGAACGCGTGGTCCTTCGTCAGCAGGTACGCCCGCACCAGCGTCGAGATGGCCTGTCCTTGCGCCATGGCCGAGTACCAGCCCGGGTCCAAGGACTTAAAGCCTTCCCCCAGCTTCCTCGTCACCATGATGGGCCAGCCGCCCCTCTCGTCCTGGTTCTTCACCAGCCAGTTGCTGGCCGCAAAAAAAGCCGCCATGTGAGCGGTGGCCGAGATGGTGACGTTATCGAGGAAGCCTCTACCCTTCGCTACCAGCCTCACCACTCTCTTGGGCATGATTTTGGTCTGCTTGACGGCTTTTGTGTTCGAGAGGCCGACGCCTTTCCGTAGGTCGGTCACCAGGTCTCTGGTGAGGGTGCTCCAGCTAGTCCTGGGACCGATGCCGTAGTAGATGTCTCGGTCCTTAAAAGCAATGAGCTGGGTGTTGGAGATGTAGTGGACGGTGAAGAGCTGGTTCTTCTCCGTCGTCTCGAGAACCACGGAAACGCTCCCATTTGTTATGAACTTGAGATCGAAAGAAATAATAAAATCTCGGGTGTTCCCAAGCTGCAGAGATACCCCCTCGGTATTTTCTGCAAAACAAACCAAAAAAGCCTTGTTCAGTGGTAAAACACTCATTTCTCCAAAATGTTTAAGCTACAGAGCGCAGCTTCCAGAGGTAACCCCTCTTACCAGACAGGATCCAAAAGCTTTTAGGGCAGCCCATCAATAATTCAATCATTCTTTCTGCGCCCTACCGTGTATTATTTAATTAAGCATAAAAGTAAATCCGCAAGCGAAGGCTGACTCCCGCAGCACCGGGGAAAACTCGTTTGCCTCTTACATTAACATGCTGCAACACTTCGTTGCGGAGCAGAAGTGCCAGGGGCTCGATCGATGGCTTTATTGGAGGCTTCTGGTACCTGATCGATGGAGGAGTGCAACGGACACCAGCAGCATCTGGGGTAAGGGAAAGGGACATCAGCGGGGGGGGGTCTTACTGCTGCCTGCAGCTGCCTGCTGGCAGGATGCAGGACAGGCAGAGCTGCACTTTTCCTGCAGGATGGGGCACAGCAGCCAAGCTGCAAGAACGTAGATGCTGCGTGATCTTTCCCTTCTGTAATTCACAACATAAATGAACCACCACTCTTTTGCTCCAAACTGAAAATTTCACTTGGCAGAAAAGACATCAAAAACGCAGCGCCGCTCGAGCAGTTGCATTTCCGAATAAAGCTCTGCTTTCAGCAAAAACAAAAAAGCCAGGAGTGCCGAGAAGCAGGTATTCAGGATCCCCCTGGGACTAATATTTACATTTACAACTTTTTCTTTCCCAACCTGACAGTTCCAAAAACCAGTGCGCTGATTAGTTTAATGGGGGAAAAAAAGAAAAGAATATAGAAAGACTAATGTGTTAAAGTATTTATTAACCTCTCCATTGGCAAAACTCAGTTTAATTAAAAAAAAAATTTAAATAAAGCTCCTAGGCAATGCCACACAATAAAATCCGGTGCTCTCTTGCAGGCTAGATTTTAAAATGTAAAATCAACTACTCCCCCAAAAACCTATACTAGAAGATCAAAGGGCTAATTAGTTTGTAAAGCTGTGTGCAAATCTTGTAGCTTTGAAGGCACAGGGGGATGATAAACACTTAAAGACAGTCATCTTAAATTAACAGCTTTCCATAGAATAAAATTTGCCTGTGCGAGGCAATTGTCTCCTTTCTGCTACTTCTTGATGTGTGAAATACCCCATAAATATTTCTATGTGCAACCTTCGAGTTATGGTCAGCTTCTTCTGCAGAGCAGAGGCTTTTCTCCATCTCCCAAACTAATCTACAGCATTTTGCAATGTCTTGTGTTGTACGGTGCTATTGTACAGTACCTATTATTTTGACTGAATGTCATGTTTTCCAATCTTTTAAAGTAAAAGCCTCACTCCTTTGAGTTTTGGAGATCAGCATCTGCTTCGGGAGAAGAAACTGAGCGCTTTGTTACACAACATTTTGCTCCTATGAAAAATCTAATTAAAAAACCCCACTCACAATTCCTGTCAAGTAAGTTTTATGGTTCCTTGTAAATAAATGCTTGTGTGATAACGAAGTGAATTACAATGGCGGGGGGGGGGGAGTTTTAAGAAGCAAAGGAGAACTAAAGGCTGCCTGTTGTTTGCACTGCCTTAAGCGCCTATAAATCCATTACTTAAGGCCATCTAAGACGAGTGGATGCGTACCTCGGCCTTCGAGCCCCGCAGATTACTCTGCCATCAATAAAGGATGAGGAGAGAATACATAACAGATCTTTTAGCCTTTCCTCTCCCCATATTTATCTACTACAAAGACACAAGAGTGTTCGACAATTTTTTCCCTAGAGACTCAGGCCTAAGGTGCCAACTGAAAATTACTTCATTGTCTTTTTAAGTAATGGACTCATTAATTCTAATGGGTATTGATCGAGGAAAAATACATTACGTCCTTATTAATGAGCCTGTCCTAGCACAAAGGAAACTCTTGCATGAAATAATGAATTTCCCTGCTAAGTACAAAACAGAACACAGTAAATTGAAGAGATGGCAACAAAATGCATCTTGCACGTCTGCAGGTGAAGGAGAACGCCCGTATGCAGCCCCAGACCTTCACCGTCCTCCCCCAGTCCTCTGCAAATACCTGCGCAGCACATGGGCAGCTGCTCCCTCTTGCTGCCTTGTTTAAGGCAACTTGGGTTAGCCAGAACCAAGATCTCAAATTTTGCAAAAATACTTGCATCCCAATGAAGAGAAAGATCCAGGGTCCAACCGAAGAGTTGCACGTGCTACGCTTGCCCCAGGCTGAAAATAGACCTTATCTATCATCTGTCAACATCTGCTTATCACACGTCAGTGCTATTTCCCAGGCTTCACAACTGGGTCCATCTCTTTTTTTTTTTTTTTTTTTTTTTCTTTTTTTTTTTAGAAAAAAAGAGAAAGGCTCAGGAAACGTGACTGTAGCTTCTCACTGCCCTCCATGCATACATCCACCCACTTTTTCATTAAAATAGTGTTGAAAAAGCAGTGACAGAGAGAAAACAGAAGAAAAGAAAAACTCCAGAGGTACGGAAACAAGATGACATTCTCAGGTGAGATCTTAAGGATGGGAAGTCACACGGGATAAATGAAAACACTTTGATCCCAGCAAGTTAAAGCTCCCCTGATACCATCTGTGCAAATTAACAGACATGGCTTAGCTGCCACACATTTAGGATAACCCACCTGGAGCAACAAACTGTTTGACACTAGTGAACTTGGCTTTATCAGATACTGTGGACAGAGAGCAGCCTTTTGGCACTGTCCAGTCTGCGGACCTGCTGGTTTTGTCCTTCTCTTCAGCTGTTTCGTACACCTCGATGTGAGGTGGTTTCTCTGTCAGGTTTTTACTGTAGTGGCTCAACCCGTACTGTGCAATCTGGATGGGGTAGAAATAGCCTTGAGGTCCCCACTGTGTGGATAATGGCACACCTATGAGAGAGGAAGAAAATGAGTATTTTATCAGCATGTTTTCAAAAAGCAGTGTTTACAGCTCTGCACACTCCTCCTCCGTACCCCATCACTCCTTTACTTCTAGCAAATGGTATTTCTAGGCTTCACCATTAGCTAGACTCGAGGAAAGTCCTGTTCAAGGAGTGAATTGCTCCCATTTACACTGAGATCCATGACTAGGCAAAACTAAGCAGATCTGAGCGGCCGAGAAGTCCTTATCATGGTCTTCCATACATTCTCATTTAATTGTTTACTGAAGCACCACACTTATTTTAAAATACATTTAAAATGCCCTAACAGATTTTTTTTTTGCCCCTACCCCAGAGACCACTAAATCTCCAAACAATGTTACATCTAACACAATCCCTTTAATGCCACAGAAATCTTTGCAAATTTGGTGTATATGTTATTACTAGATTTTGGTAAGAGTTATTTGATGCTAAAAGAGCAATTTAGCCAGCATCTGCAAATCTGCTCCAATTACCTTGGCTCCCCTAAGAGTATTACAAGCGCAGTCTGAAGTGCTGCCTGCGGAAACCAGCCAAGCTCTCCATGCAATACCAACAGAACATGCCCCAGCTCTTCCACCCAAAGCTGTCCCTTGTCTTCAGAGCTACTGCTCCAGCCCAGCCGTACCCGGGATTAACCCTCCACACGCGACTCACTGTCCCAAAAGCTGGTAGCCTCGCAGGACAGCACACTTCTCACTCTTAATTCAGGGTTAGGGTGATTTTAGATTTAAAAGTCTGCACGGACCAGAAGAACCCCCTGGAGCACCACCTCTTTAGAGGATTCAAAGCAGGAAGATCACAGAGTACATCTTCCGTAGCCTGATGTATTGCATTTCACATGCAAAACCCATTGCATGAGCTCAGACAATGTCACATAGCCATGCTTGATATAAAACTTCCACCCTCCGTTATGATCGTTAGCAGAGATGCACCTGCAGAAAACCCTGCCAAGCTCCAGGCTCTCCTCTGCCTGCCCTTCACCAGCTCCCAGGAGCTGCAGCGTCGGGGTTTGGGTGGAAAAACCCTCGTGCCATAAACTGCCTATTGCATCACCGGCTGTGTGGGAAATGAAAACAAACTGTGTGGAGGAGACTTATTTATACACATACCTCCATAAGCAAGCAAACACAGGATACTTAAGATACGGATAAAACCAGGATTCTCTTAAAGTCCTGAGTTTTATGTGGAACAAATTCCCAACCTCTAAATATGAATCCAAAGTGGGAACAGATCACTGTGACCCTCTTGCAGGAAGCCAAGGATAGTTAGTACTGTAAACCTTTGCAGGTGTGTAAGAAAAGGAAAAGGAAGTTGAAAATAAACATGTTGGCATTTGCACCATTTTTCCCCTTGGCAATGTCACGCTCAGAAACCAGTTTCTTCTGAAATCTGGTACAATGAAAAGCTTACTTAAACTAAACGTAAAAAGATACATTTTCATACATATTTTGGTGCTTTGTGTTATTAATAAACATTACTGATGGAGATGTGATGGTTTACTGCTGCCTAAAGAGAAAACCATCACAGGAAATATTTAAATACCATGTATTAGCTCAACTCCTGCAAGCCAGCTTGCTCATTAATGCAAAGCATTTTCAGCTAAGGGTGCATTCATTGAGACTGAAAGATGCAAAAAAAAGAAATCTGCTATGAGACCTTTACTTGAAATTTATACAAGATGACAAGATTAAATTCTCCAGGTCACAGGACATAACAACACATTAACCTTGCAGAAAGGGAGAAGGTGAAAATATAACATGAGGTTTTTTCCGTCATGCAGCAATATGAGAATCTCTAGGGCTAGAATGATGCAAGGCAAGAGCCTAAAACTGTCTGAGAATGTGTTTTAATATTAAAACGCCTTCCCAACAAACTACAACTCCGACCTGCTTGCTGGATGCCAGTAACTCTATTGTCTTTACAAAACCCAGGCTCTGGCACCACTTTTTACAATGATAGCTCTTAAATCACATGCTGCAAAAAAGCAAGGTTTATAGATAAATAATCACATTGTCGAGTGTTAAACTCGCTGGTCTCTTGAGGCTTAAGTAGAGAGCAGCTACACACGACAACAGCCTGCAGAATCCATCCTGGTTCTCAATTAGCTCCTACTGAATTTCAGCTTTTTGCTGGAAAACATCACAAGAATTGTGGAGTCCAGTTGCAAAGGGCAAAGGGGCATCTTGCACATCCTCAACATATCATACAAAAACTGGTGGGGCTCCAAGACCTAGGTCCAAGCCCAACAACAAAAGCAGCACCCATGGCTATTATTGATATTCACAAACTGTATTTAACCAGCAATGACCATAGCAATTAGAAAGGAAAGCTATTTCCTCAGCCTCTCATGGTGGATGTAAACCCTAAGCAGGGCAATGCTCACACATAGTGGGTGTGCAGTTACCGAGATGCATTTGCACCTTTGGGAAAGCCCCAAGTTTCAGAGCCCTGCTTCCCTTCCTTGGCAGATGTAACAAGGATGAGAGTTAAACAAAAAATAATCAAAATGTGAGAGCAACCTTACAAAAAACTCAACTGACACACCCTAGGCATTTGTTTACATGAATCCTTTACAGAGAAATTAATTGCAAGACATGCCAGCTTTCTGCAGTAACCATATCATGGGAAGAGCTCATATCAACACAGCAGAGCATCACCCTTCACTGAGGTGCATGAAAATGAATGTATTTTATTCCTTAAGTGAAAGTTGGTCTTTAATTTATGAGGGGTCACAGTGTCACATTCCATAATAGTTTTATAAAGTCATTGATTTTTTAATATGAAACCTGACAAGAATTTTCTGCCATCAAATCTTTGCCGAGACGAGGGAAGACCTTGCGTCCTAATTACCGATAGCATGGTTTAGCAAAAGTGCAAACTGGAAAGGTTTTACTGTATATTAATTTTATCGAGGGACGCTTCAGTGGCTGGAGAGCTTTTTGACCCTTCAGCAGTTCTCCGAAACCTCCTCGCCTTGCTGCAGGCAGCAGCACCTTTTGCAGGACAAGGCGAGGCGATGCCCCGCCTGCCCTGGGTACGGCAGCGCGGTGGCACTGATTTACCTGGACCCGTGCACAGGACGAGCTTTGGCAAGAACAAATCCCACACTGCTGAGCAAAACCTTCCCCGCTTGCTCTCGAGCAGCCCAGCAGCGAAGGTTTTGACTGCTGTATCTCCAGCACTGCCCCGGCAATGCAAGGAGACAGGATATTGTTAAACCTGAAGACAGATACCCACTATTAAGCTGCCCGTGAGCGGCCAGGCTGTTCCACAGGTGCTGGCAGTGCTGTTTGGCTCAGAGCGTGGGGCTGTATCTGTGCCCGCAGGGAAGCAGGAGCCTCCTCAGGCAGCAGGGCCAGGCTTTTTTATTTAATTTTCTATTTTAAAATAATTTTGGCTCGCTGACGGAGATGACAAGCGTCAACAACAATGCCAAAACCTGACAGTAGCACTGTAAGAGAAGTGTCCCGCCACCTCCAGAGTTTGCTGCAACCAGTAAAACCAGAGATGCAGGATGGGAACTGGTAAACCTACTACAAAGCAGAGACTGTGCGTGATTTCTCAGAGTAAGCGTGTTTTATCAACAGTATCACGACAAAATTAAGATCACTTTGCATCTCAAATGATGACAGCAAATTTTAAGAAGCATTTCAACTATTGAAAAAAAAACCAACTTAACACAAACCTTCAACACCACTTATGCACTTCACTCTGTCTCGAACCTCTACGTTGTAGCCCTCGAAGGACATGAAGACCCCGTCGGGGTGGTAAGGTGCTCGCTGTGTGTATACTTTGGAGTAGCTATGAGAGAATTCAAACCTGTCATAACCATCGTACTGAGCAATTTTCCCATAAACCTCAAAGTATTTCTCTACCCAGCTGAACGGCAGGAAGACCTCGTTGCCTTCCCTCCTCCCTTTAACGGTGTGCTCATCATTGATCAGACAGTCAATCTCCTCATACTTCAGCCCCGGGGCTTTGTTGCCGTTGAAGCCTCCTGCGACGGGGGGAGCTTTCTGCTGCTCCTGGGGCGATGCCTCCTCGCTCTGCTGCCGGGCCAGGTCACTCTCGGAGGCTGCAGCAGCGGCTCGGCGTTCGGGACCAGCGAGGCTGCGGGGGAACGGGCCGGCTCTGTCGGAAGAGCATCGGTTCCAGAGCAGCACCATCACCAGGGTGAAGAGGGCGCAGATGACGATCAAAGTCTTGTAGTTGACCCGAGCTGCCAAGCAACGCATATTCACACCATACCTGCAAAACAGAGAGGGGAGAGGGTTTTAAGATGCGGTGCTTACAGCCGGAGCTGCTGGTTCTGCTAGTTCAGAGTCCCGCTGGAGCCCGTCCAGCAGCAGCATCGCCACGTGCGCACCGTGATGGTGTTTGGTGGGAAGGGGACAGGCGGGGGCACCTGGAAGACAATTTGGGTTTTTCCAGCTCTCCGCAAGCAACAAGATCAAACGTACCAAGCCACAATTCACCTCCCTGCTGCAATAACAGATTGTTTCACCAAATGCAAAGGATGCAAAGAAACAGCTGCAATCACGGGGCGACCGCTTCTAAATAAAAAGCGTGATGTTGATGAGATGCTCAGCAGCCACTGGGAATCAGCGAACAAACTCTCACCGGCCTCAGAGCACAAGGGGAAGAGAAATCCCCAGCAGCATTTAACCACCACCTACCCAGCACCACGAAAGAGGAATTTCCAACAAAACAGCCTTATAATCAAAACCTGAAGCCCAGAAATATTTGTAGTTCACACAGCTTAAATCACTGAGATACCTACATAAAAAGGGATGGCTATTTTTGCCTTTTTTTTTTTTTTTTTTTTTTTTTTTTAAAGCACAACCTATAAACATTTTCTGAAAAGAAACTCAGTGCTCAAGGCTGGATTGATTCTTGATGTTACTGCCCCTCAAATGCACTTCTAAAACAATAATGTGTATGAGGAGGAGTAAGCAGGCTGGTAATGGAGGACTTCAGAGCCAGAGCCCCGGCAGGGACAGTGATAGCAGCCCCAAGGCAGGAGCCTCCAGAAGAAGTGAAGGAGGGACTGGGAAAGGACAGGACCTCCATGGACACGCTCAGGGGCTCATGTGTCCTGGTCCCCCAGGAGAAGGCAGAAACTATGTAAACCCTCTCTCGGGATTTTCTTTTATTATTTTCTTCCTGCACGATAAACCTCCTGCTGCACGAAGCATGCTCCAACACCACCATTACAGCCCCACCAAGGAGCAAGGCTGAACAGCGTGAAAATAAATCCAGAAGTTGAAGTGATTTAAGCACGTTCGCTCAGAAGACCCTAGTTTTTGCTGAGGAATGAAGTCCTTCAAACAAACGATGTGCATTTTTCAAATGCGCAGGAATATTTAAGATACACTTCATAAAATCCCTATTAAACAGAAGTTTAATTTCACCTCCCTAGTAAGCCACGGCATCAGAGCCGCTGAGTTAAGTTTTAAACCCGTTGCTTAATTGCAGCCCCATCTGACATCCCCGGGGGCCGCTCGGCAGCTGAGCTAGGGGACTCGTGCAGCCCCAGGCGTGCCAGGATGGTGCAGCGGTGCCGGACCTGACCACTGGTGATTTCAACAAGGTGCTCCAGAAACAGCTGCAGATATTGCAGAGATTCTGCTGATCAGCAGCAGTTAACCATACAGCAATTAAAAGGAGTTTCACCTCGAGTTCCATCCCCCCCTTTTTAAATGGAAATAATCAATTATCTCTCACCAGTTTTATGCTTCCATACTGTAAGCACCATCTGGTCATTTAAAACTGGACTTTAAAAGATAAGTGTCTTATTTTCTGAAAGCCCAGTTTACTACAAGCTTTTAGAGAACATAAATTTATATATAATTGTGTTTTTATGGAAATGCTAACATAAGAATAAATCCAATTTTCTGCATCAGCAGATAATTTCTAGTGATGATGCTTTCAGGATGACCTCAACAAATATGCTCTGCTCTTTTTACACAAAGGGATAATTCACTTTTAAATACGGAATGACATTTCTGACACACTTCACCCCTACCTATAAAACTCAAAATTAATTAAGCCATCTGGATTACCAGGGGATGGGGAGAGAAGGAGAAACACCATCACCACACTTTTTACATGCCTTTACCCCATGCCCATTACTCCATGGTTTTAAACAGGCTCCATAGCTGTGAAAAGGTCCTGGCTATGCCATTATACACAGCTTTTATTTTATTTTGGTTCTGCTGCCTTGGACAGTAGAGAATTTGGAGCGGTACAAAGCGTTTCCTATGCTCACCTTGCAGCTCCAGGGAAGAGCAGGAGATGCTGCAGGTTGGGTCCAGCTGCATCTGCAGCTTCCTGGAAACGCTGCTGAAATATTTAGTTTTTATGAACTATAAATGAACTGAAGAGGACTCAGAAAGAAAAGTGGAGTATTTTCAGAGAACCATCACATTAAGTGTCGCCAGTCACTGAAAAATCTAGAAATATGTGAGAGAGGCTTATTACATGTTAAATGGATAGATGGATTTTTATTCAACTGCAGAAAAAAAGAATTCAGAATTTCAACAGTAAAAAGAGGTAATTTAAACCCACAAAGGGACTGTTAAATTGGTTTATTCCCTTGCTGCTCTTATAAACAGGATTTCATCATACCATACTTGAAAGATTTAAGGAGTACAACACAGGAAAGTGGTTTTAAGTTATGAAGTAATATATCCACAAGATCCATGTTTGTTTTCTCCTCATTTTTGCTGGATGACACACCTAGCCTCTCTAAGGCTGTGTACCAACACATCTCCCACCTAAATTTTAAGGTGTAGGCTGTTATCATGAAAGTCGGTCCTTATCCCGCAAGTAATACTGGAGCTACAGGTTTTAAAAGGCAAATACTTCTGAGAAGTCTGGCTAAAATTCCTTTAATTCCTATGCTGAATTACTGGGCTACAGAAATGGCTGCAGCAGAGCAATCACTGCTGTTATTTACAGCTGGGACTGACACCTGGCACTGGCCTACAGCAACAACACAAATAATCTATAAATTAATACTTGTTTAGTTTTACACTGTTTACGCTTACATAGTTGCTGTACAAATCATTATATAAATTCTAATTAAAATGCAATGAAATAGCATTTCTTACAGAGTGAACAAGTAGCTTCACATGTATCCCAAAACAGGGACGCAATTAGAGAAACTTATTTTGCCAATTCAAGTGAGGTGTCAAGACAAGGTTTTGAGACACTGTTTTTAATATAAAGGACAAGAGGGTTAAATAAAAATAAAATCTTGATACCGCTGCTTTATTAATGATGCCTGGAAAGAGGACAAATCTTTGTATTCCGTGCTGTGAATTAGGAATCCACAGTCCCAGCTGTGTATCTAAGAATGACAGATTCAGTTCTGGTACTCAGTTCTTACAAGAAACCAAATTATTCGCATTCTAAAAATATATATGTCTCTCTCTCTCTCAGGAAGTCCCTTATAAGACAGGGGGTTTTTGATCTGCAAAACTGTGTTGAATATATTAAAAGTAAGAATTTCTCTGAAGTCCAGGCTATTGCCTGTGTCCTGGTTTCAGCTGGGATAGAGTTAACTGTCTTCCTAGTAGCTGGTACAGTGCTATGTTTTGAGTTCAGTATGTGAAGAATGTTGATAACACTGATGTTTTCAGTTGTTGCTCAGTAGTGTTTAGACTATAGTCAAGGATTTTTCAGCTTCTCATGCCCAGCCAGGGCACCTGACCCAAACTGGCCAACAGGGTTTTCCATACCATGGGACGTCCCATCTAGTTTAGGAACTGGGAAGGGGGGGGGTGGGGATTCGCCGCTCGGGGACTGGCTGGGTGTCGGTCGGCGGGTGGTGAGCAATTGCCCTGCGCATCACTTGTACATTTCAATCCTTTTATTACTACTGTTGTCATTTTATTAGTGTTATCATTATCATTATTAGTTTCTTCTTTTCTGTTCTATTAAACCGTTCTTATCTCAACCCAGGAGTTTTACTTCTTTCCCTGATTTTCTCCCCCATCCCACTGGATGGGGGGGGAAGTGAGTGAACGGCTGCGTGGTGCTTAGTTGCTGGCTGGGGTTAAACCACGACAGCCTGGTTTCTGTGTACTTGGCATGGGAACCATCCTGGTGCTTCACTCGTCATTGCTCAGCTTCAAAGCCCAGGACAAACACAGGAGGCTCCTCTCTTGGATAGAGCCATCGATTTAGGCCATTTGTAAATCGAGCAGGCAATGCTGCAGTCTTTTTGCGTACAGTTGTGCTTGTAAGCAATACTCTCCAGCAGAGGAAGACCTTGGGGTGTTTTCTAGGTGGGAAGATGCAGCTCCCCAGGACGGGAAGCACTGTTTGTGCCTCCCAGGACAGTTGAAAGGGAGGATGCACTCCGAAAAGCACTTCTGCTTTCCCCATCTTAATCAACGTGATGTGGTGAATTCATTTTAAACCAACTGGCGTGGAAGAGGCTAACCTGCAGCAATCCTCGGACTTACCATCCTGATCTTGTTTCAGAAAGCGGGATTTAGTTTCTGCAGAGGGGGGAGACCGCAGCGCTGCTGCTGCCCATCTGCCTGGCGACAGCGTTTCCTCCCTCATGCTTGCACCAGTCCTCGCAGGGTCTATGTTTCCAGAACCTGAACATATTTCAAGTGGAACGGGAAGGCTCTGCTGCGAGGAGGATGCCAAAGCAGCAACATGGTCCTGCTGCCCAGAGCCCTTCCAAAAAACCACATCCTCAGGTGTTTTTCAAGTCTCCCTGGCATTCAGAGTTAAAAAAGACAGACTATTAAAGAGTGGTACGTGCTGACACTGGACACAACAGTTTGCGTAAGGGCTGATGCATGTTACCCAGGCTAGAGGTGAGAATTACTTAAAGCTTTCTCACAGCTCCCAAAGGTCCCATCTGTGCAGGTTACTGGACACGCTGCGGTGACAGTGACAGCAGGATGAATGCAGACAGGAATACTGCTGCTGGCCACACACTTGCTTTTATTTTTAACCATTATGCCCGTTTCACCTGGGTGACACAGACACAAACTGCACTTTCAGATAACTATGCGATACAAGTTGCCTGTGGCAACTTCAGTGCTGTCATTTATTTTTTTTTTTTTTGCTCACAGTGCATGGATCAGCTTTTAATAAACCAGATCAATGATCCTCCAAGCAACAGAGATGACTCACATTTAACTCAAATTAAAAGCCCCAGAGGATGCATCATGTGCAGCAAGAGCCCAACTTCCATGGTTCTGCAACCGCCCTACTAGCATGAG